AATTTTGAAGCCAGCACAATCCCCTTCCTGCAATCCCAGCATCCTATAATCGGCGGGTTTCTTTACCCATGGTGCATCCTGCTTGAGAAGAATACGAAGTACCTACAATGTAGGATGTCCCTTTGGGGCTAATGTGTGTTAACACTAGGGGTAGGAACCGGTGTGCCCCTTAAGTTGCTCTTGGAAGGATACTACCCATAAATCACCCGCAATATGGATCTTATCAATCAGCAGGATTGGAAAACCTTTGCTAAATACGCTAGATCAATAAATGAGCCTAACTCTGCTAAAATTTACCCTCATCATATAATTTGGTGAGGGAAGAAAACCCAACAATTGCTGCGAAGATAAGGGCATGTGGTAAGGGTGCAAGAGGGATCATTCTGGGTCGTATGCTCTCCAGGTAATCCAAGGCTTCCTTTCTTCGGAAATCGTCGAATTGACTTTTTTGGAGGACAGAAAATAATCAAGTTATACATCGCTAGCCGGCACTCAATGTGTGGACTAAATCGCATTTGAAATGCCACTACGATAATGAATGTAAATCTAATGCGTGGCGCATCTCAAAATGGGTTCGTAAACGCCGAATGCTTTATTCTTCATCATATTTATCCCTTCAAACAAATCTGGTAGTCTGGTAGACAAACCCGCCAGGCAGGAAACGGTGCCCCTTACCAGTGCCTTGAGTTCTGCTTCAGGACTGTAATGGTACCCTTGTGGATCTATTTCGGAAAACGAGGAGAGCGAGTGCAGACCACACACAAGTACGACGGCCAAGAAAAGAAAAAAAAAGCCACTTTTTTCTTGGCCGTCGTCACTTTTGGTGTGTGGTCTGCACTCGACGCTTTTCTCGTTTTCGAGAATAGAGGGTATAATTCGTGATAACAGGCAACAATAGATGTCTTTGTAGATATCTTTCAACTCTATCAGCAAAACTGTCTCTGTAAGTTCCCTACTGAATTTGAAATTATCTCAAGTACAGAAAAGTTACATGTACCATTCAGCGTCTTTTGACTTTTTGAGCTTCGGAGGAGCTTTGCGGTTTTTCTTGCAAACACCACCGACACACTCGCCAATGAAACAAATCTCTGTGCCTTCGAATCCCGAGCATTTGCCTCCAAGACGGATTCTCGCCATACACTTGCGCTTCGCCCTCGCTCGGAACATGGCAAAACAGATATCTGGAAAAATCGCTATTTTAAAAGATGATATGAGTAATAATCATGCATTATTC